CTGCGCCAGTGGGGCCAACTGTTGCTGTCGGGCGCGTCAGCTTGGGCGAAAGTTGAAGACCCTGTCGCTGCGCTTCTCCTCGCCCGTTCCAGGTTCGGCTTCCGTTTTTTGGGCCTGTGGATCTTGCTGGAGCCGACAGGTGAGCATTGGGACTTCCGGATGGTTTCGCCGTCTTTCGCAGCCCGCAGGGCCACCTTCGCAGCCGGGGGGCTTGCTGACAGGGCAGGCCTGGCCAAGATCGGCCAAGGCAGAGGTTGGCGAGGCGATTTTTTTGGAGGCCGCCCAGTGAGCTGCTGCATGCGAGGCATGAGCCGCAGGAGGAGGGGGGGGCTGCTGACGAGACTTGGGGGGTGAGAGAGCAACGTGTCCTGCGCGGCCTGGTCATGGGCTCGCACTGGGCCCAGTTCCGCCTGCGTGAGCACCATTCCCAGCTGCCGAGTCACTGCCTCATTTGCGGGGATTGGCCAGGGACCCTGTTCCACCGCCATTTCCAATGCCCAGCGCGACAGGGTCGGAGGCGAGATGCCCTGCCCACGGTGCTGGTCGAGCCCGTCAGCAGGCTACGTGCACGATTGTTTGCAGAGAAGCTTGCACGCGGGATCCTCCCTTATCCGTGCGGGGCGTATGCGCGACCTGCTTGGGGCTCCAGCTGGGAGTTCAAGGTTGGTGGGCGTTCGGCGCCGTTGGCGCTTGAAGAAGGCCATGTATTTTGGGGTGGATCAGGGTTGGGTGGGCCGTTCCCGTCCTTTCGCGTGGCGGGCTGGGGTGTAGCAGCATGCGACAAAGAGCTCCGCTACCAGGCACGGGCAAGGTGGTTTGGAGCGGTCCCCCCAGCGGTTTGCTCAGACCAGGTGGCTCGAGATGGCGAAGAGTTCGCGATCCAGATGTTGTTGAGGCGCCTGGTGGGCGCGTTTACGGTTAACTCTGATAGTAGAGGCGCGCTGCAGTGTTGTTGGAGCCCAGGGTTCGCCAAGAGGTCATCTAACATCCGTCCCCATCTTCGGGGGTGCACGTTCGCATGCGGATGTCCGCCAGGGGTTGACTTCAAGAATGTGAAAACCAGCGCCAGCATGAATGATGCGCGTGAGTGACGCATCGCGCTCTTCGCGCATGAAGGTAACAAGGTTGCCAACATTTTGGCCGGACAAGGAGCTGAGCTGGCGAGGAGAGACCCGTCGATTGGCCCCGCGTCGAAGGACATGCTTTCCTCGGCAAGAACCGTGTCCCGACGTATCAGCAGGGCAGAAGCCCGCTTCGCAGACCTAGGAGTTTTTGATAACCTTGGAGCCCGGGGCCTCAACTTGATCTCGTTGGAGGGTGATGCCGAGATGGAGGAGGCTCTGGAGGAATTGAGGAGAGGTGAGAAGGCTGTTGCAGCTGTTGCCCCCCCCCCCCGCCAAACCCTTCCCCGCCGGCTGGCGGCCCGAGCGAGCAGGTATGTCCTGAGCTGGCCTCGATGGCGCTAGACAAGGACCAAGCGCCCTGGGTTTCCATTCCAGGGGGCACATGTTGCTTGTGTTTGGGGTGGCGGCCGATGGCCAGCCGCCAATGGTGTTCTGCTCCACTTGTGGTGGCTATGCTACAATGTCGCTGGGCTCCATGGGGCTCCGTGATGCCTGCTTGGGCTCCCAGTGGGCTTTGGTGGACCCTTTCAAGAAGAATGCGAGGACTGTTCTAAAGGGCAAGCACCCTAATAGACCTCCCAAGCTGGACTCCTGGAGGACTCCCTGCGGGGCGGCTCGTGAGTCGGTGGAGGTCTTGGAAAGGTCCCAGGGGCCCAGAAGCGAGAGGCGAGACAAGGGCTGGACTGTGGCCCGCTTGTTTTTCATGCCGGGCAGCCGTTCTCCGAGCCTTCGGGCTAGACGAGCTCGAAGCGCGATCCCTGAGAGAGCTGAGCGAGCGCCCTAAAGACCAGGGTCTCGACGCTGATTCAGACGTCTGAGAGATCCTCCAGGGGGGCCCTGTCGCGGGCCAGGGGCAGGTCTACGGCCGTCCTGCCGTGGTCGACAGAGGTCCATTCGGATGGGCCTCCCTGGGAGGTAGAGTTGTCAGACGGTCGAACTTTCTCTCTTCCCCGCTTTCCCCCAGTGGCGTGCGATCCACCTCCTCGCCCTCGTCCTCGTCCTCGTCCTCGTCTTCGTCCTCGTCCTCGTCGTCGTCGTCGTCGTCCTCCTCCTCCTCCGCCTCTTCCTCCTCCTCCTCCTCATCCCACTCCTCCTCCTCGTCCTCATGGCGCTCCAGCCGGCGTTCTGTGGGCCGCCCTGAGGGGGGCTGTCCAAGGATTCAGCGCGCCCCGAGCCAGCCTCGTCTTGAGGCCAGGTGCGGGTTTCAACGCCGGCCGCCGTCTGCCGGCGCTCTCTGCCGGCCGGCCAGGGTGCCAGGGGCAGGGGGCGGGGGGGGGCGGGGGCGGGGGGAACTGCGGAGTGGAGGGGGCGGATGCGCGGCCACAAGGCCCGCGCCGCCGATCTCCGCCGCCAGGCGCGCGCGCGCCCGCCGTGGGGGGCAGGGGGCGGGGGAGACACGGGAAGGAGAGCGGGGGGAGAGGGAGGGGAGGGCCGCGCCGTGAAGTAGTACACCCTCTCTAATGCGCCTGCGCCGCGCAGTCGCGCGGCGCAAGCGGGGCTGCCCTGGCAGCCAAAACGGGCCACAGAGCAAAGAGCAGCCAAAACAACTGCGGAGGAGCGAGGGGAAGCAGGAGAAGGACGCGGCGAAGGAGGAGGCGGGAAAGGGGAATGGGGGGGCGGCTCGAGCAACAAACGACGGCGAATCAAGCCGATTCGGCGGCCAGCAAGAGATCTGCGCTCTGGGTCAGCAGCAGCGCGGACAGCCGTCGCCGAGCGGAGTCCAGAACCTGAGACTGGTCAGCGGAGTCTTCTGGCGCGCGCGCGCGGAGGAGGGCAGCGGCGATTGCGCAGGGGCGGCCAAGGGCTCCTACGGCAAAAGGCGGTAGGTCCAGATTTGGATACCGAAGGCGTCCGGCTCCTATTGGACTCCTAGTGTTCTCATCTAGCTGTCCACCAGGCCATGTGCTCCTGCGCGCCTAGCGCGCCCCGGGCCCAGCGTTGCCCGTGAGGGGCGGCAGCTGGCACAGTATTTTTCCTCAACGCAGAGTCTTTCCCAATGCGGAGATGCGCTGGTCATGATGTATCAGTTTGGCGGGGTCCTGATTGCTCGGCCCCGTCGTGTTCTACCCCGTCCGCAACCCGGGGGCCTGCTCGATTTCGCAACTAGGGTGCGTGCTCCTCTTGACCGGGTGCGACACCTACATCGTCATGTTCGGTAAGCGTCTGTTTGTCGCGCCATCCGCGCTGCCCGCGCCCGGGGCAGTTCGGGACAAGTGGCAGAAGCAGCGGGGGCGCAGACGTCGATGCATGCACGCTGGGCGTTCTGGCCATTAAAACGTCGTCCAAGCGTGCGCGCTCAGTCTGGCCCCCCCCGCCCGCCCCCGCTACTCGGTCCCGCTTCGGAGCGATCTGCTCGGTGAACACTGGGCCCCCGTGGAGGCGGCGATTCACGCCGCCAGCCAATCGCGAACCTTGTCATTCCACCGCAAAGCTCCGCCGCCGACTTCGCGCGTCAGAGCATGGTGGCCCCGGCTGCCTACGCCGCAATTGCATCTGCGCCCCAGTTGCGACGACCCGTGCGCCAAAGTGCTGGCGGACGGGCGGGTGCCCAGAGTTCCAGGATGCAGCGGCTGCAGCCGCAGGCGCACGGCCGCCGGGAAGTGCCCATCTGGCATCAGAGGTGGCTGCTCTCGGTGGGCGGAGCAGGAAATCGCAGCCCTTGTCGCCCGCAGACCGCAGGTCGGCGCGACCTGTGTCTTCGAGGTCTCGCAGCAGAGTCGTCCAGCACTTCGTGCTAACGTGCTTTATCAAGACCTGCTGCTGCTGCGCGCGGCTGGAAACAAAGCCAGCCGCCGAATCGGCCTGATGGCACTCGCACCTGAGACGACGGAGCTCGCCCCCCGCGACCGTTAGGGCAGCGCCCGTGCGCGGCGCCAGGGCGAAGAGATCGTCGGCTGAGAGCGACCCCCGCGCCGCGGCGACGTCTGAGAGACACTGTTGCCAGGAGGCGATGTAAGCAGCACTCCGCCGGGTCATGCGAGCGGAATGGAGTCCCAAGTCTCCGTCCTGGCACGCCAACCGCAGCTGCTGCTGCTGCTGGCGCTGAGGAGCTGGGCGCCCAGTAACTGCCCGAGGACGGCGGCGACTCGCGGCACTCTGCGCACCGTGCTTTGTTCGCGAAGCAACCTCTGAGCAGGTGGTTGTTGGCCCCGCCCGCGAAGGTGCGCGGCAGCGTGAGTGCGGCCTAAATGCGCGGCCCTTTTTGTGAGGAGGATTTGCGTCCTACCAAGGAATGTGTCCAATGCCCCCAGCGATGCCTCGAAACGATTGCCTGGCGCTATGGGGGCCCCGAGGCGATGCCGATCGTCCTCGTCAAGAGTCGCTGTCGCTCGCCCTCTGGATAGCGACCTGCGCCGACATTGGGCCGGCGAGGTCGGGCATCCACAGCTTGGACTTGGTGAGCTTTAGCTCCAAACCGATGCCATGCAGCTCACCCCTCGTTCCCGAGGCGGCCTCCGTGGCGAAGCCAGCGTCGATGATGACAAACATATCGCCCAGGTAGGCGCGCCCGCGCCTGCGGATCCAGGGGGCGAAGCCGCCGATCGATCGACGCCAATGCCGGGGTCAGTGCCGCGCGCAACGGCGCAGGGCTCAGGGGCAGCCTTGGTCAACGCCCCGATCAGAGTGAACTGGCCAAGCCTTTCCAGAACAATCCCGAAACCAATGCGTTGAGGAACCGCGGTGCCATGCGTCGGCTAGGCGACCCAGAAGCGCGCCTGCGCGAGCTGTCCGCGTGGCTGGCCGCGTCGCCACATTGAAAGTGTCTTCGCGACTGGGCGACGGGAACGCAGCGGCAGGGCGCCCTTCGGCGGACGCTGCAAGGATTTGCGCATTACCTTTACCCCCGCAGGCCGGGACATGCCACATTGGCGTGGCCCCCCCAGCTCGCGGAGGGCATCGGGCTCCACCTCTCGCGCCGCAAGGGCGATGATGTGCAGCAAATTACTGCCGCAGGACAGCGGCCGGGCGCCGCAGTCCGCCTGCTTCAAAGCCATCAGGCGACTTCTGAGATGAGCCTTCAAAGTGTCCCCTGGCACCTCCCCGAACGGAAGTCTGGTGAGGGCCGCGCCAGCTGCCTGGGGACCGCCCGCAACGTTTCCCAGTGTTCGTGTCTGGGCCCTGAAGGCCCCGCTCCGGCAAGCCGCGGAAAGCGAGAGATGCGTGGGCGATTTCCTGCTCAATGCTTGACCACTGTTGCGCGTCTGGCGCTTCTTCCTCCATGCCGCCAGGTGCGGCCACTGTTGTAGTCTAGTAGCGCCGGGGTCGAGCAGTGCCTTCAGCTTCTCGGCCGTGCCTTGGCGAGCCTCCATATCCGCCTTGCTGCCGTCGCCGTGGGCACGTTGCCTACTGGCGCCAGCGACTCGATCCCCCGAGTCTCTGCGTCGGAAATGCCAGCTAACGTAGTGTGCCGGGCCTCTCAGCCGCGCTGCTAGGCCATGCTCCAGAGTTGTTGCCGCGAGCCCCTCCAGAACAAATGCAGACGATTGGAAATGATATGGCCAACCTTTTTTCTGCTTCGCTCCCTTGCGTGATGGGTCCGGGCAAAAAGCAAGTGGTCCATATAGTCCAAGAGCTTCCACAGACGCGCTGCCTCCACACTTTGAGGATCACGCTGCTGCAGCGTCCACGTTCCGAGGATCACACTGGCGCAGCGCAACCAACACCTCCGCCCAGGCATCGGCACGTGCATGGAGGTGAGACTGGGAATGTGGGCAATCGTGGGGACTTACTCAAGATGTTTGAAAGCACCGTCCTTAAAAGCGCCATTAGCTTCGCGGACAAGCGGCGGGTTTGGTGGGTCAGGCTTCCAGGGCTGCGCGCGGTGCCGGTGCCTGCGCTTTCTCGCCGCGTGCGCCTCCTGTGACATCGCCTCCCCATTGGCGAAGGCGGTGGTCTGCGCCCTCGCCTTCTCCCCAACCTTCGACAGCTCCTTGATGTCTTCCAATGGCCCCAGTCCTTTGGGAATGCAGGCGGGGTGGAAGTGTTTTTCTTGCCGAAGATCTAAATGCCGGGACCGGATTCGGGCGTCGCCAGGCTCGAGAGGGCGATGGCGAGACCCTCGCGAAGCCTTCTGCCTCCGCGACGGCCGCCCGGTGATCGCCCAGTCGGCGTGGGCCTGGCCAGCCGGTCCCAGGCGGGGGGGCCCCCCGACGCGGAGTCCCCGACATCCATAGCGGGACGACGTTCGCCTTCTCATGGATGCCGATGGTGGGGCCTGCTCGATCGCAGGCTACTGGAAGCCGATAAAGGGGGTCCCATACGACGTGCTTCGCAGCGAAGTGAAACGCCCGCGCGCGCGCCTCCTGCGGGCTACAGCGCGGGCCCGCTCTGCTGCCGCCCGGGTGGCCCGTCCAGAGTGCGTGCGATGGTGCGGGCTTGGCTGGTGGCAACACCTGCATAGCTCTACCTCTCAGCTCACTGTGCGCTGCCCTTTAGGCGCGCGCGGCTTTGGGGGGCATCCCGACTCGTGGTGCGGGCGCCGTCCCCCATGGGGTGGGCATGCGCGGATAGGCGCATTGGTGCGGACATCTCTCTCTCTCTCTCTCTCTCTCTCTCTTTTTTTTTTCCCTTCTCTCTCTCTGTCTTTCTCTCACTCTGTCTCTCTTTCTCAGGTTATCCGCCGCTTTTGCTTTGCCCTCTGGGCTACGTGACCGTCGTCGACAGTCTCGGTAGGAGGCTAAGTTGGTGAAGTTGCATACGCGGGCTGCTTCCCGACCTGCGTCGGTGGCATCGCCCGCGTAGGTCAGCGCGCCGATCTTCAGCGTTTCCTGCGCGGAAGAGATGTTTCGATTGCCCCCCCATTGTCAAGGTTCTGTTGCTTGTTCTCTACTCATCCATTGTCCTTTTGCTTGGTCCATCCATCTAATGTCTCTCTGCTCCCCATCCATGTGACCGCCCCTCATTTGCCTTTATCTTCCCTTCGCTTGTGCCTTGTGCTGCGTGCCGTGCGTGCCGAACAGGCCATCGCTCGACGTTGTGACGCGCCGAGCGCGCGTGCGCATTGCTTGCGGAATGAATTTATGTGATCGCGTCGCGGAACTCCATCGCCCCGGCAGCATGATGTGCGGGCCCAGATTGGCCAGCTGGCTACCCGACTTCGGTTTGCGATTTCGCCCTCGCAGGCGGCGGACCGCATGCAGGACGCGTGCGTCACCCCTCCCAGGCTCGAGAAGACACTCGAGAATCAGAGATGCTGAAAAGGCACGGGTTGCTGACTTGCTCGCCCGTTTGGACCGCGTGCAAGTCGCGCGAGGCAAATCGGGCCAGGCAGGTAGGGGCCGACTTCTGTGCGCGCAGACGATTCCATGATTGAGAGCAGGTGCCTTGTCAGGGCGCTGCGGACCCATGACCTCGCACTCTGCCATCATCTGCGCTCTTATATCGTCAAGAGTGGCCCCCTAAGTTGGCGGGAGCCATGGGCATCTCCGTGATTTGGTTGGCGGGTGAGGGTCGTGTCTGTCGCAGTCATGTGTCACCGCGGGTGCGTGGGCGCGGATGTCTCCCATCGGGGGGGCCTTCCTCCTTCCCCCCCTTCTCCCTCGCTCGCCCGGTCCCGCAGCCTCCGGGGGTCGTGGGGGCCTCTTTCCCGCGTCTCCCTGGAGTCGGGTCTGGTCCCTCCTTCCTTTCTCTTCTTCTTCCTCTGTCAGGTGGGAAACCTTTAGCAGGGGGGTCACAGCCTGGCAGGAACCTCTAGCGGAGGGGGTCACGGCCCTGCAGAAACCTTTAGCAGGAGGGCCACAGCCTTGCAAACTTGCACCTCTTGACAATATCATGAGCACGGTGCGCTCGTGGTGGCCAGTGTTCGACGGGGGGCTGAGGATCGCGCCCTTCGGGGTGCATGCCTGTTGATCGCGAGGTCTACTCATCCTTCCTCTCTCTCCCACCTCCTTTCTCCCTCCTTTCCGCGTCGTCTCGCGTCGGCGGTGGCGTTGCTTTCGGCGCCCCCGCTCCCGCTCAGGGCAGCCGAGCCCTGAGGGCCCCAGTTGTCGAGCTCACTGCGTTTGCGTTGTTCCCGCTAATCGGCCCGTGCTTGTGGCGCATGTCATCTCTCCATTGGAATGCGGCCCTCGGGTCGACTGGGGGGAGTTCCGCCCCCCCGCAGGCTCACATCGACATGCTCCTCCTCTCGCGCATTCTCGCAGTCTTGCCATCTGTCTCGGTCGTTGTCGTCAGGTGTACATCCTGTTCTTCTCCTGTGTTAGTTGGCGCCGACAATCCTCCCTCTTGCAGGTGTTCATCGTGGTGCTTTTCTACGACCGCCTTTCTATGACTGCTCTCTCTGTTATGTTGCTTCTTTTTTTCGCCCCTGCCAGGTCCTGCTGGTGCTCCGCCGTTGGGAGCCCTCTGGGCAGTTGAGCCTTCGGGGCGCCTGTCGTCGGGCTCCCATCTTCTGCGTGCTTCCGCCGCGCGTGTCCGCGCGTCGCAAGGTGCGCGTGTTTGTGTTGTGTGTGTATATGTGTGTGTGTGTGTGTGTTTCCGAGACCCCCCCTCTGGCTCAAGCCTCTGGCTCGAGCCGTGAGGGGGGCCCCCCCGTCTCGAGGAGGCGTCCGACGCACCGCCTGGGCCGCGCGCCGGCCCCCCGCGCGCGCCCCCGCGGCGCCCCTCGCCTCGCGTCGCCTTCGGCTGCCCTTCGGCGCGACCGATCGCTTCCGAATGGCGGACGACGCTTCGTTGATCAGGCCCACCACCAGACCTCCCCCTGCGCCCCGCCCTGAGGTCAACGAGTGGGAGCTGGCGGGACAGCGCGCGCCTGAACCCGGGCCCGCGGCCGCGCCAAGAGACGAGCGGGGGCTGGAGAGGAGGGGGGGGGTTGTGAGGTGCGAATTTTTGGAGGTAGGTGGCCCCGCGTCCACCGCCGCAGGGGAGCCGGGTGAACTTCAGGACGTGCATGCCAGCACTGGGGTTGCCGCAGGCCCTGAGCGTTTACAGCCGACTGGACATGCTTCAACGACTGACACCCTGATCCCCGCCCCCCCGCCGCCGCCGCCAGGCCCAGGCAGCCCGGGGGCTGGGGGGTGCACGGCGGCGGACCCGCCCACGGGGGCGAGTGCTGATCACCCGCCGAGCGCCCCACTCCGTGAGGGCCACGCCCCACTTGCTCCCTTTCCTTCCTCTCCTCCCCGCGTGCAATCTGGAGATGCGACCGTTAGTCGCCCTGATCCCGCGTGTGTCCCTGGACAGGCAGACCTTCGGCATCTCGACGCCTCGACGCCTCTCCCCTCCTATCTCGCAGGCAATTGCGACCGTTAGTCGCCCTGGTCCCGCTCCCGACGGGCAGGCCTCTCCAGTTCCTTTCCCTGATCACTCTGGCTATGCGACCGTTCGTCGCCCTACCTCTCCTCTCTCTCCCCAGGTGGAGGTGGCTTCTGACCCACCTGTGCCCCTGAACCCCTCGCGCAGGTGCGCCAGCGACGTGGCCCCCCCTCCTGTAGTTCTCGGGGCGGGTACCACCGTGGCCCCCAGCTATGCGGAGATTGTTGCTGGACGGGGCCTGGATGCCATAGCAGGTGGTGAAGGGCCGACTGGAAGGCTTGGAGGCCACAATAGACCGCAGACGACAGGGAGCAGCAGCCACGACTCCCCAGGACGGCCGACCACGCGGACCGACCAGACGGCTTTCCCCCCTTCCCGCCGCGACGAGGAGGACACAGGATCGCGGATCAGCGCCGATCGCTCAGCTCTCCCTGCCCAACTAGGCACCACCTCTGGCCCTGCTATCCCCCCCCCCATGAGTCTAACGTTTTGCCCCCTCCCCCCCCCCGCTAGACGGTGCCCGCATCCCGGTAGAAAGCACGGGCATCGAAGCGGACGCTTCCGGCGACCAAGCTGGACCTGCTGCGCTATCAAACGGCCCACATGGATCAATCGCGCCGCGACAGCAAACGGCCTGAGCGAACGCTTCAGCGGATTCGCAGACCTGTTCCCAGACCTCCTGGAAGGCGAGACGACCCGTCGCCGCCATCGACGCCGCCCAGGGGCAAGAGGCGCCCGTTGTCATCCTAGTGGCCGCCCGTGCCAACTCTATGCGCAAGTGGGGCCACGTGGGCGACCGGCGCCGCATCAACGTGGGGCTGAC